TTTTTTTTTTTTTGGACAAACACAGGGCTCATACTATGTGCCAGGCACTGTTCTAGGGGCTTTACGGATAGTAACTCATTTAACCACCCGTAACAACCCTGTGAAAGAGGTATCATTATTAAGACCATCTGACAGATGAGGAAACTGAAACACAAAGGCTTTTATTTTCCCAAAGTCACACAACTAGCAGGTTTGAGAGTTTTCTGCCCTCTCTGAGGGCATCGTTAATTTTGTTTTAATATTAGGTTTCGTTGTGAGCAATAATATTATAACTCAACAAAAATAGCTGTGGACATTTCAGGCACTGTGTAAGAGATAGCAGTACCAGCTGGGCCCCGGAGAACCATTTGGCATTCCTCAAATAGAACTCTGTGGGCTGTTCTCCCTCAAAGCCCTTTGTGTTTCAGTCTCAAGTAGCTGAATATGGCAACCTTGGTGGCCAATTAGAAGGTCAAATTCACACCTTTCAGAGGAAGAAACAAGAGAGCCTGGCCAATGATGTGATGAAGAATCTTGGAGCCCTTCCAACCCTCTGGACTCCCAGTAAGAGTTTTTTGAAAATACAACCCAGATGGAAAATCACGTTCCTCTGAGGGGGATATCAATTATAGAATCTATTTTAGCCTGATGCAAAGATTGCAAACAGAACAAAAGCACATGTACATGTTGAAGCATCAGTGACAGATAAATCAATGAGCATGATGTTAAAACATCAGATCATAGGAGTTCCATTTCTTTGGTTGCAGTCCCAGGACCATGAGCTCTACTCTTAAAACCAAGGTGCCATCTTGAAAATGTTACTGATCATCACAGGTAAGATTGTGTTGCAAATCCATCTTGAGATCCCTTGGTTGTAAGGAGCAAAAATCACTCCAATTACACACACACACACACACACACACACACACACACACATATATATATATATATATATATATATACATGCAAACATATACAAAGGAAAAAGGGAAGAGTTGTATTAATATTTATCAATAAGTTACAGGGGCATATAATGAAGTGAAAGTGCAGAGAATGCAATGAATGTCCACAAAATACTGGAAATAGCAATACAAAGCAAAACTAAGGCTTCTCTCTTAGTCCCTCGCAAATGCATTGATTTCTTATCTCTGCTTCTCTCTGCATGTGCTCATCATTCCGCATTCTCTTTTTTTCTATCTCTCTCTCTTTCTATCTCTAACTCCTAGCCAGCTCTTTTTGCTTCCTGGCACAAGAGCCAAACATGATGTCCCCATTGCTGACTTCACTTCTCTCTTTAAAGGCTCAACAAACATGCCATAGCATCTCAGAAGCCCCAACTCCAGTCCCCAGGAGACAGAAGCTGACTGGCTGAGTTTGAGTAGGGACTACTCCTAATCCAGTTGTCTGTGGTCAAGCAGGCAAATCACATGTCCACTCTGCAGGACGTGGGAGCTGACTCTTTGCAGAATATGTAGGCAGGTTCTCAAAGACGGAAGGGAGGAACTGGGGAGAAAATGATTGATAGAGGAAATTATTAGCATCTCTAGCACAAAATCCATAACTTGGACCAGAAGGGCAATGTTATTTGCTTCTCAAAAATGGGCTCAGCAAAATGCCTTGATGGAATAATTTCATTTGTTACTTCAAGTGAAACCTTTTGTGCATTGTCACTGTATAAAAGAAGCTAACTTGAGCCTCCCTGGGAAGTTTTACCATGATTAAATACAGCCAAGATGTACCTATACAAGAGCTGTGGCACCCTTGCAATTTGGAGAGCATGACAGAAACATACCTAATCCTAGAACCCTTAATTTTCTTTATTTTAGCATCTAAAAATGGGACTAACTATGAGATCAGGATTTATGCTTTAAATAGTCCTTTGTAAGAAAGGGGGAGAGGGCTGGAAGAAAACCAACAGCAGTCCTGTTCATCAGCTGACCTTCTGCATTGGTAGAACCAAGGAGAGCTCTTGGGGACACGAGTTTGCTGAGTGCAGCAAAGGTTGGTCCAGCCCATTGATAAGCAGAGAGAGTGACCGAAGGAATTCAGGCCTGAGAGGTTTGCTGTACAAGTCTCCTTTGCTCTCATTTTAATCCAAGACACATGGATTCAGATTTCTCTTTGATCCTTTAGGGGAAACAATTTTTAAATAATCCAATTCAGAAGGTATCATGACATAAAGGGGAATTTTAGGCATATTTTCTATTCCTGCACACTTGAGGAATACCATGTGTTCCTGTTAACTTATTTGGTAACAAAATATGAATTGTTACTAACTAGAGGCTATTTGTGGTCTTTATTTCCCCCACTTCGTGTGAGTATTCAGAGCATGTGGTTGGGAGATCTATGTTCCTAGAGAAATTGCTGACCTAGAGAGGTGGGCCAGACAGAGAGAGAGGACATGGATTCTGGTCCCAAATCTGCCACCATGAGCTGTGTGGCTCTGGGAAAGTCCTCCGCCTTTTGTGAGTGAGCCTCATGTTTTTTTCAAATATAAATTTGGTATCAGAAAAGGACCCGTTTTCTTTAAAAAATTGCTGTGAGACTTCAAGAGGCGTATAAGCATTTCAGGAATATGAAGCAGACCTATGCACATGTCTGATGTCTATTCTAACTTGTCTAATTCTAGACAAATTGTTATTATCATTTTTATTAATAGCTGCCCCTTATAGAACATCTACTACACTCATGTACTGCCATATGGTCTTTCATTCAATTCCCTAGACATCTTTAGAAGATTGATATTTCTCTATTTTAGAAAAGAAAATGAAATTCAGGGAAAGGTGAGTGGCTCACCCAGGGTCTCAGAGCAATAAGTGACAGATCAAACCCAGAGTTGCAACCCCAGCTTGTTGCAACACAGTCTAGCTTTTTTCTGTGATACCATGGGTGGATATAAAACTACAAAAGAGAGTCTCTC